CATTACACCATGAAATAATGAATGGGAGACTGTTCACATCAATAAATAAAAAGAACATACAGGAAAAGCATAGATAGCAACTATCTTACAGAAATCTTCGGGCATAACAAAAGAACGGAGTCGATTTCCTGAATCAGAAATTTTGCTTTTTTATGGTAAGCCTGCATGCAATTATTTATTGAAGAGTGATCAGAAAATTAAAGTCTGAACACCCAACTGAAGAACTCATCATGTAACACTAATGAACTGTACCTTCAATTTGAGATAGGCAGGATCAACACAATGGGCAGGACTTAGACTTAGCAAATTGTCAACCAACTCCATTTGGACCTTTTCTGAATCACGGTCACCTTTACATGACCATGCCTCTAATCTAGAGAGGCAATCTCTTATATTTTTAGTCCAATTCTGAGATTCCACCAACTTCTTCGCCATTTCTCTGACCTAAACCCAAGTGAGAAAAATACATATTGTGTTTGATGAAAGTAACCAACAAGCACAAATGAGAAAAGATATCCGTGTGATAGAGAATTTAAGCTTACATGATCCATTTCATGACCACCCCACAGAAACTGTTCAGCCTTTTTCAGTGCATCAATATAAGAAGCATCACACGAATATGGACTTTGTACAATCTTGACACAGTTTGAAAGCCATTTGTCAGCAAGTTGCACATGGGTGACAGAGTTACTCTTAACCTACAACCAGGGATGAAGTTGTACACGTGAGATTAAGATATGTAGAAATATATTTTGCGGTGTATAAACTAAACTAGCAAATTTCAAATCTTTAAGCTTTAATACAATTATGCAAATAATACATTACTAAAGATTCTGAATGGGGCATTTAATCAAATTTGCTATTTTTTATAATAATTAGTCGCTATGGAAGTAGAAAAACCTTCTTTAATAGTGCAGGTGAATCAATGGAGGTGAGAGGCTGGTTTTGGATGTTTTTGGATGGACCATCAGAGCTACACTTGTCGGTAGAAAGCACTAAATCACTCAGTTCTGCCAGACTATGACGATAGAGAAGGCGATGTTTTTTGGGCTTGCACTCACAAAGATGTTCCCAGTGCTACAAAAAAATGTATAGCAATGATTACACAAAATAGTTAAAAGACTGCAAAAGATGTAGTTTAGTTTAACGAAAATTGGCTGTTTATTGATAAACTCAATTATGAAGACATTTCCACTGCCAGGAAACAAGCGTTTTTTTCTTGCGATTTACAGAGTAAAATAATTTTTATAAAAAAAACTCCACATGGGCAAACCAAGCTAACTCACCTCAAGGCAAACAAAAGCTGATGGCCTACAGCTGCACGCTACAGCAGAAAGATACAAATATTGTTGGCATATAATGCAGGTAGGATCCTGCAAAGAAGATCATACAACATGTCAATAGTTTTAGCAGGTCATTAAAACACAAAAATAAAAATAAAAACTGAAAGAAAAATATTCTCAAATACCTCTTCAGTACTCATATATTGAGGCTGCTTACGAGGTGACAGTGTTGAAGTGTTAACTATGCCATTCATCCAAAGTAACTCTCTCCATGTTCTTTCCTTATTATAGATCCTAACCAGTTCCATTTTTAAGTATGGTGAGACCTTACTATCCAAATCACTCTGCAATAATATAAAACAAAGATAGATTCATTATGAAATCAACACTAAAAGAAACAAATGTTTTCTCCCCCTCCCTAACAGGAGATCTAGAGTAAGAAGAAAATAATTTAGAAGAGGTCCAAGCAGACCTTGGCCACCACACAGAGAAGTTCCTCATGGGATAACACGGCAGCTTTGCGATAAAGCTGGTATAGTTCCGCTCCAAAACCACCGTGAGGTAGCCAATCAGCAGGCGCAAAATTGACAGCCTCAGCACAATTTAAACCTGCAACTCATATTATGACTACATGACTTTGAAAGGATTAAGCACTAAAGTGTGCATAATTAAGCGAAATATTATAAACTTCTAGCAATTTAAGCTTGCAATTTGAGCAGTAGATATGAACTCAAAAGCTTTTACATAACTACACTAGAGTCATTACTAGAGTGTGCAAACTGTGCATAAGACATCAAAAAGATTCAAGTTCTCCAAATCTTTAAGAGTGAACTGATACCAAAGTTGAAGCCTGCATGGTAAGATCTGGGGAAGGTAATAATAAAGTTTCCAGGCTCCTGTAACAAAACAAAATAATGTATCAAAGAAAATGCATTAGGGTCATGCAAGTGTGCCACTCCTTGATGTGTAGTAACTTCAGATAAGTGAATTGAGAAAGTTGTGTTTACACCGAACTGATCGACAAATAATCTATTGTTTAATTTATTCCAGAATGTGATACAAAAGCCTTTGCTTAAAAGGTTATAAATCTCCACTAAAAACCACAAAACAGATAGTTGCAAGATATGAAAGTAAGGAAATATAGAAAACGTCCTAAAGTCTACCAACAACATAGCATACCTGTAAGACACTGTAAACGGGGACTCCGTTTTCTTGCAAGACACGCGGGTTCAACATGGTTATGAGCTGAAACAAAAGATCAGGCTGTGCATCAAATAGATCAGGGAGACTATTTCGCATAACCTGCAAGAACATGAGCTTCACATTCAGAAATTTTACAGGCACGCATAATCCTTTCTATTTGACCAGAAAAAAATGTAAAAGTAACAAAAAGTACCTTCTCAAAGGCACAGACTTCGCTACCAGGAACACTATACCAACATTTTGGATCTCCCCTGGAAAAAAAACTAGCCGTGACTACAATAATAGCTTGAACTCGTGAAAACAAATTCCAAACAAATATCTGCAGATAATTGACATAGAAATGCATGACATTATCTCTTCTTCTCTTCCATTTTTAGAAGGAAAGCTCATAGGCTCATAAAAAACTCTTGCATTTTTTAAAAGAAATGCTACATACAAGAGATGCAATACCATATTTCCAATAAATCGTATCCTCGTCAACCATTTACTTGGAAAAGGTTAAAAACAACAATTTGGCTTCACAGGGAAAACAACACCATAACATAAAAATGAGGCATTGGGAATTATATTAATTGGAATAAAGTTACATCAAAGAGATGAGTTGTGCTCTAATTTCCAGATGAATAGCTGCTTGAGAAAAAACTATATTGATTAACCACAAGTCAATGATAAACATTTGTTGCATCTACATATTGTCTAACCACTTACACGATAAAAGAATAAGTTGTGTACTTTAAAAAAATAGCCATAAATAAATAAATAAATTATAGTTTAATGGGATACCAGTGATGATAGTTCATGGAGTAAAAGCAATGATCTTCAAAATGCCAACAAAATGAAGAGAAAAGCATCCCAATGTAAAGCCAAGGTACCATAACACCAGCAATGTTTTGATGGACAGCTTGTAGCATTGAGCCTCGCAACTTAGGCAAATTATTAAGATTCCAGGGGCTAACACAATACTCATCCCATATTTCAGATCCTACTGTTGCAAGTCTTTGGTCAGTTAAACGTGGAAATCCACTCCCATAAACAGATGTATCCAAGTCATTCCCATATAGAACTTCAACTTCACCGACAAATCCCTCTACTATTTCCCAAAACTTCTTCTCCAGTTGAACGCGCGATACAGATGCAGGTGACCCAAACCATTTTCTCTTCGCCCGGTCATCCACACGTCTAAAAGCTTCCAATGTATAATCCTTACTAGGCACAAAACCAAAGCTGTCCTTTTCAGAATTCAAGCACTCCAAGCAGTACCAATTGCCAGGTGGAACATGTTTTAGAGGTGGTGATAAACAGTAAATATGCCATCCCTTGTTGCATCTATCGCAGAGAAGCATTACTTCGCCATGTGTACCACTTTTGCACTGCTCACATATTTGGTCAAACTCTTCCTCCTCCACTTTTTCCACTTCATCATGTCTCTCACCATTGGTATTATTTCGCCGTCTCTTCAAACCAGAAGTTTCAGACTGTAGCACACTTTTTCTACAATGGTGAGCTTTTCGCTTACAACTCTTATTGCTAACCTTATTCAACTTACCACAATACTCTTCATAATCATACAAATGTTCAAGGTACAACTGACTCAACACATGCTTGGCACACTCCGTGATCTTCCCGCTTGACCTGACAAACCTATAAACTTCACCCCACTTCTTATCCTTTGCAACCTTATCATATCCTCCATACCGCTTCACCGCGTTAAATAGTTTACAGAAATCTAATTCTGCCCCCTCAAAGAGAACTCTCTTCTTCACACTCCGACCACAATGCTCTTCTAAGAACCTAATATACTCAATTTCAAAAGTTTTGGGGTCACAAGAAGCGCATCTTGCCTGCAACTGATGAATCGCCTGAGTTTTTGTGGGAAACGTGAATGAATTCAAATCCAATGCAAATGGAGGTTTCCAGCTCTTGGGAGGCACAACTTTACAGATCCCATACTTCTCTGCCTCTCCCTTGATCTTATATATATACTCCAAAGGGTTCCTAAAATCCTCCTCTGTAGGATAATAAACAGGTGCAGGTGGTATATTGAATGATCCGCTTCTCGATGCACTTGGGCTTTGCCCTAATACCCCTTTCTCTACTGCCCTTGGCTTCCCTCTCCCCATCAGTGAAAGCTACTACCTGTATCTCATCACTGTAAAATATATATACACTCTCTTCCTGCACAAATCCTTCTAAAGATATCGACTTTCTTTACAAACTTGCAATCTTTGCTTTCTCAAGAGATTCTGCAATTACAAAAGTACAATTCTTACCAATTGAAGAATAAAACTATAAAGAAAAAACGTCAACAAAATGCAGTCATTGACGCACCTTTTGCGAAGAACTTCAGTTTTAATTTCCTCTCTTTCTATCCAAGTTATCTATGTGTGGTATTGAATTTTTGTTGTCTAGAGTAACAAGAAATCACATTGTTCTCTTTCAGGATCTCAATCGGGTTGGTTATTAGGTTTCGAGCACTCTTTTGCTTTTTGGGCCTCCATTTGTTGGCAATACGGAACACGTAGCGAAAGTGTACTATTTAAAACGGTAAGGACCAGTCCTACATTTTTAGAATCGTTTCGTTCAATAATAAATGAGAAAACGGTCACTTTAGTACATGAAGTTGCAGGGTGTGGAGTAAAGAGTCCCTCAACTTGCAAATGACACGCGATGGTACATATACTCGGCCAACCCTGCCTAATTCAGTACATCAGTTAACCTCCCGTTAAAAGAAGCCAATGTGGCAATTAAATTACGTTTCTATCGTACACGGTGGAGGGCGAGTCAGCAAGCTCCCACCCCCTCTTTTATAAACAACCCTAAATTGAAGACCGGTGGACCAAAATTGAAGCTTTGAGCGACAGAAAACCCTATTTGAAGAATCCCTCGTCTGGAGCAGAGATTTTGAGGAACGGTCTTGTACTCTTGTTCGAGGATCTTTGAATCACTTTTGGTGAGTTGCTTAAAATAGAGGTACGAACTTGTTCTTTTACATGTTTCTTTCATTAATCGAGATGGCTTGTGGAACAGAGATGGCATATGGAAATTGTCTATGTGGGATGCCTATAAAGATGATGACATCGTGGACAGATGAAAATCCAGGCAGACGGTTCGTTGCTTGCTCAAGAGTAAGGCTATTTCAATGATTATATGTTTTCATTTGTTTGAAATTTGGATTTATTTTGATTATGTTTGACATAATGTTATTATTACATACAGCGTGGATGCTGCAGCAACTTTGAGTGGGTTGATCCAGGGCTTTTGAGGAAAATAAACAACCCACAACGTGTGATTGATGAGGCAGAACCTGTGAAAAGGAAAGAGAAGATGTGGACTGTGATATGGTGTGTATTGGGAGGAATTGTGATGCTACTGTTGTTCATCATACTCGTGGGCAGTGAAAAGAAGTCCTTAAAAGACCTGTAGTGGTTCTTCTTAGGAGTTTATGTTGTTAAGTTGTAATATTTATTGCTATGTTGTAATCCTAGTTTAATCACCAAGTTTGTCAATCAGTTTGGGAGTACTCATCAATTGTTGTTTTGTACTCATGTTTAATGTATCATGACTTGATGTTAATGTTTTCTCATGTTTAATGTATCATGACTTGATGTTAATGTTTTATGACGTTTTAAGTTTTGAAGTTTGTTTACTACAATGCATGAGTTCATGATGATCATAATGTATGGACATGTGTGATATGTTATGCTCCATGTAGGGGGCTGCATCTAGGTTGTTGCACACCCCTGGCCTTCTGTGCATTTCTACGTTTGTGACACTTATAATGACAACAATAAATTTAAAAATGATTTTCTTCATCACCAATACATGACATCTTAGGTTATGGTTAAAGTAAATAGAGAGTTTGTGGGGGGCATTTGATCCAGTAACCAACACATGACCATACATATGAACATTAAGTTACAGCTTCTTCAGGTGCATTGCTATTATATTACAACAAGTTTTATATACAAAACAGTTGGGAAGATGTACTCATATGAGCTTACCACTGGTACTGCTTAGAAGCTATATACACCAGATTTGGCACACACAAGATTTAAAGATACCATGACCTGATATATTACACATCATTGCATAAAATCAGTACTTCAATTCATAGATCAAATAGGCAAAAATAAACAAACACCATACCAAAGACCTAATATATTACACATCATAGCATAAAATCAGTACTTCATGTCATAGATGAAGTAGGCAAAAATAAACAAACACCATCCCAAAGAGATATGAGTTTCTACATAAAGTAGATACAAATGCACCATAATGGAACTACACTTCTGCTCCCACACACCACTAGTGTGTAAGTCAAACCCAAAAAAATAGGAGACTGTTTAAGCAAAATAAGAGGTAATATACAACCAAAATCCATTGTTCCAGTTCTTGCTTGTAACCATAACTACACTAAACTTCAGGGCCTTCTTCCATGGAGTCAAACAACGTATTGAACCTCTCTCTAGCTGTTGTGGACACCCCGGTAGCATTCAATGAAGTAGCATCTCTTTTTCTTGAACTTTTGGCCTTTTCCTTGTGAGCCTTCTGGTTCCTAGCAAGCAATCTCTGATAAAGAAAATGAAATAACAACAAATTAAGGCTTTCAGCCTATATATAAACACATTACACTCTTAAGTTAAAATAGAAAATGACAAATTACTGTAATGAGGTGTGTACCTCCAAACCACCAACTGTGATTGAGTTTTGGCCCCTCCAGTTTAACAACTCATCAGTTGGTCTGTCACTCATTTCAGCATTTTCAGTGAAGTATGGACGCAATGTAGAATCCCCAACATTTATTTCTTTTGGAGGTGCAGAAGCACTTCCTTCACTAACCTACCAAGCATTACACCCAGTTAGTTCTTTATAAGTGTCAAAGACACATTTACATTAACACTTAAAATTTATTCCATTTACCTGATTAGAGCTAGTCTTCATAGGGCATTTTTTTGGGAATGTCCACTTTGGGAGCACAAAGCACATCTTTTGGGATTTGTGGAAGTACCAGTACCACTTCCTACCTCAATAGGGAATGTTGTATCCCCCTGCAATATTTGGGCTTTGGAGGGACAACCTTTTTTGTTATGGCCTTTCTTGAAACACAGCTGGCAGGTAATAGTTGTTCCTCTCTTGGGTAACTTTCCACTCCTAGGGATCTCACCTATTTCTTTTATTCTGTTTTTCCTTGGCCTACCCATTTCTTTTTTTTTTTCAATTCAACAGGCAAGACTTCAACATTTGTTTTAGGCCAGAAAAGAGGCCCAGCAATAGGTGTCATCATTTCAGCATAGGTGTGGTTGTACACGTGTTTCTTATACCATTGGGATACATAATCTTCTATTCTATGACCTTTATCCCTAATGGCACAGATTGCGTGTTTGCAAGGGATTCCAGACACATCCCATTGCTCACACAAACAGCTCCAATTCTGTAAATCCACTAGATAAATGTCTGAGCCACAGGAGACCTCATATCCATTAGAACCATTAAACAACACCCTCCAATGATTACTTGCCTTAACATTTTTATTTATTCTCCTCCTGATTCTAGGACCCAACTCCCCAACCCATTGCTCACTTAAATTTGTATTCTTTATAAGCCTCTGCATCACCAGCTTCCTAATGTATTCCAACTGAGTATACCCATATAAAGATCTAGCAGGAACTATGACCCCATTAAAAGCCTCACACAGATTGTTGTCAACAGTTTCACATTTTATACTCCTATTAAAGAAGGCTCTACACCAAAACTTAGGATCTACCTTGAGAATATCTTCATAGGCAGTTGGAGAAAGACCTTTCAGTACCTCAAGATTTTGTTCAATTTCTCTTTTAGAGGCTGTTTTGCAGCACTTCCAAAACTGCCTTTGTAGCTCAAGGCCAGGATGAGTTCTTCTCCATATGGCATATATGTGCCTAGCACATCTTCTATGTTCAACCTCAGGTAAGGTCTCATATAATGCTGGCATCAAACCCTGTAATGAAATGATAATTATGGAATATTAGGATATTGTTTATATTATACACAAATTCATAAAAAAGATAAAGTCAGTAACACCTTTTGTTGATCAGAAACAAAAGCCCATCCATCTCCTCTTCCAATGTTCAGATCATCTCTTAAGATTTCCAAAAACCACTTCCAAGTGGCTTTGGTCTCTGAAGGAACAACAGCCCACGTTATTGGAAACATCTGATTGTTGGCATCCCTTGCGATTGCGGTGAGGATTTCACCCTTAACCTCAGACTTCAAAAATGCACCATCTATTCCTATGAGTCTCCTGCACCCCTCAAGGAACCCTTTCTTGCAGGCATGGAAGCACACATAAAACCTATCAAATACAAGGCTATGCTCTAACAAAGTCAGAATGCAGGTATTCCCTTGGTTTGACCTTACAATTCCAGCCTTATAATCATCCAATTTTTTGTACTCAGCATTAATGTCTCCCTTTTCAAGTTTTCTGAGCAATGACTTAGCTTTCCTCATTTGGTCAAGAGAAACATCACAATTCAGCTCGTTCTTAACCATCTCTTTCATTAAAGCAATCTTCATGTCACTTACACCTGGTTTAGAGGAGAAAAAATTCTTCACTAACCATTTAGCTGTGGCACTAGGGATTTGCCAGCCTGGGTTGCAAGTGTGATGACTGTGGTAGGTTTTGAGAGCCCATTTCTTGCTGCTGCAACGGTTTTCTATGCCAAAGTAAGCCATCCAAGTACAAGTTTTGTTCAAATTTGAACACTTTGCCCTAAGCATGTCTGAGCAATTTTTAGCCCAATAGTATGGATACCTCTCAGTCACTGAATATTTATCCATTGCATCTTTAACTTCAGATTTCGACTCAAAGCTCATTCCCAATGTGAACTCAACCTTGTCAGTTGGTAAGAAACTTGGGAATCTAGATTTGTTTCTAACACCCTCTTCTTCTTCACCAGCTGATCCTTCTTTGTAACTGCTTTCATCACTTGAACTGAAATATTCAGTATCATTGCCATCTTCCTCCTCATTGAAGTCTTCCTCACCATTGTTTCTTTTCTCTGATTTCTGCCCATTACCTCTCCCACCACCTCTTTCCTTTGTAACCAGATTCCTCAACAGAACTCTACCTTGCTCTAACTCTTCATCATCTTCATTTTCTGAGTTAACTTCATCTTCAAATAAAAGGCCATTTTCTGCCTCAAAAAGTAGATCTTGAAACTCCAAATCCACATCAAAAGGAATGTGCATAGCAGTGTGACCTTGTGAGTCAGCACTTCGACTGCCATAATTGTCCATTGCTTATCTTCTTTTAAACAAACAAGACAAACCAATTAACCACCAAACAAGTAAAAACATATATGTCAAAAGTTACAGTAAATGTTTGGAGAAAACATATGCTTCGGCCAAATAAGAAACACTGTACTCAAACAACAAGGAATTTTGAAAATAAGGTTCATACTTTGACACGCTTTGAAAAGAAGGTTCATACAACCACCAATGTAGAAATAAGGGGTCAGGGTGTGCGTTAAAGGCATATACATAACTTTACACCTATCAAACACTATACACATACACACGCCATCAATGTAGTAGAAGTTACAGATGCATACCTTCTTCGTAATGGTAGTTATCGAGGTCGGTAGTTATCGGTGCTGCAGTACAATTTTGCTTTCATCCTCTGTAATACACCACGAGCAGCGTAAGAATGAAAAAAATTAGGGTTAGTAGCGTGTAATGTTATGGTACAAAGGTGAGGTGGATTATTTTTTCCACATCACCTGGACCGTTAGCCACCTCAGCCAATGTAACGGTTGAATGTAACTGATGTACTGAATTAGGCAGGGTTGGCCGAGTATATGTACCATCGCGTGTCATTTGCAAGTTGAGGGACTCTTTACTCCACACCCTGCAACTTCATGTACTAAAGTGACCGTTTTCTCAATAATAAATGCATCAAACGCCTCGTCGCCGCGTGAAATATAAATTCAATGCATTATCTCTATGATTTAAACAAGGGAAAAGGGGCAAATAAGTCCTCGAACTAACCAAAAAAGTGCAAATAAGCCCTTTTGTAGGAGGTTCCGTCCGGCCATCGTCATTTGAGGAGGTTCCCGGTGGAATTTTTTGATGAGTTTTTTTGAGCATCTTATTCATTAAGTCTAGTTTACTCATATCGAATTTCAGCTAAAAATTCAATCGGGAAGACAGTCAAATGAATTTCTGAAGATAACTGCGTAGTTAAACAACACAGTATATTTCGGAAAATCATTTGAGTGCCTTCCCGGTTTAATTTTTAGCTGAAATTTGATATGGCCAAACTAGACTTAATGAAGAAGATACTCAAAAAATTTCATCAAAAAACTCTACCGGGAACCTCTCCATATAACGGCGACCGGACAGAACCTCTTACAAAAGGGCTTATTTGCACTTTTTTTATTAGTTCGAGGGCTTATTTGCCCAAACAATGCATCAAACCTCCAGTGTTATAATTAATAATGCGCAAAAACCCCTCTAAGAACAAATTTTACAA